TAGATTATATATATTGAGATAATATCTTAATTGTCTCCCAGATCCTTTGCCTGGTTTATAACTAAGATGGAGAGATGATAGATAGATAGATAGATAGATGATAGAAGATAGATATAAATCTATTTTTCTTTAAAATTTTTTATTAATATACTATATTTTTCACGTGTATGTATATTTTGTTTTGTTTTGTTTTGTTTTTGGTTTTTCTCCGGTACCGGGAACTGAACTCACAACCTTGCGCATGCCAGGCAGGCGCTTTTGCCACTGAGCTAAATCCCCAGCCCCGTGTATGTATATTTTGATGATAAATATATTCATCATGAGATACTGGTATATGCAGCATACATATCATCATAATCCTTTAAAATTTTGCATGTATATCTCACCACTGAAATTAACATAATTATGTTTACTTCATAGTAATAGAATTTACAAAGTAGCTTAGTTACAAGCAATATCTTCAAGTACATCACTACCTACCTTTGCTTTCTATTACCTGTTAAATTATTAATCCCACTCAGCTCTTTCCTTGCTTTTAGAGGGCCCTGCTGATTCAATTCTCTTCTCAGAGAATTTTTGTTTTAAGTCTTTAAGATTGCTGTTTACTACTTTAAATTGTCTAACCCTCTCTTCTTCTTTTTCAATTGTAACACTGATGGGAAATTATCAGGAGCTGATCAGTCTCCCAATCTTATGGATGAGTTTATGGCAAACGAGTAAATGAAAGAGACAATGCAGTATGGTTTGTGGGGGTCCAGGAAGGTCAGAACTCTTTTGGAGCTAAGAAAAAGACTACTCTGGACTGTCAGTACTTCTTGGGTCCTTAATATATAAGGGGAGTGCAGAAAAGTGGAAGGCACATCTGAGGCAAAAGGCACAGAAAAATGAGTAAGACCTTGAGAAGTTAGAACAAAGACATTCCAAGCAGTAAATCTTTGCTTAATAAGAGAACTGTTTGATCTCTAAGGTTGACAGTTCATTGCACTGGAATAGAGTGAGAGCAAGAGTCCTCAGTTGTGGTGTTCTCTTGCCTCCAAAGGCTGAATATGACCTTTTCCAACACAGCCAGAGAGCACTGTGGCCAGCAATTTAACCCTTACATAGTCAGGTTCCCACCATGAAATTTCATGAAAGATTTGTTGACTGTTAAATCATCCCTATTGTTCCTGTGTGCCTCCCAAAATAAATATATGAGCCAGATGTGATAAGCTTTAATAAGTGGTACCACCTTTCCCCCAAAGCATTCACTTAGAATTCTAAAATTTGCCTTAGTTTACTATCAGAACAGACTTTCTCCTTATCTTGACTTTCTGCCTTATTTTCTTTTAGTTTTCCTCTAGTTTAACTTTCCATTACATGAATACAACATTGTTTTCTTTCTTACCCCATTGAAGCATCAATTATATTTGGACCTTAACAGAATAAAAGGCATTTAGCAAAAGTACATTGTGTTTGTAGTACATCTTGGTCATTTCACCTCCCACACTGGTTCTTACACACCCTATGACTTACCTCACCTCATCTGTGTGACTCCCTTAAAAAGTAGAGTGAGGAGTAGTGCAGTTCATTGCAAAACAGCATTATAGGGAGTGGCTCATACAAACACACAGAAGCCAAGAGAGTGTGTAAAATGTACACATTCCTATGTTCTAAGATTTATTTGTATCTTTGAACTCAAGAAGTTAGAGGTGTCATCAGTGGACCTCTACTTCACTTAAGAGATCCCCACCTCCTGAACAAAAACCTACATGACAGGCTCCAGAGAAAATAAAGAAGAGTTCTTCCTATCTATTCTAAGGATTTACAATCACAGAGTACTCAGATCCAAATAAAACTTTACCTATCTGCCTATCTATCATCTATCTATATCTATCTTGCATGCTACTCACATATTAAATGTTTAATGTGAAAATACCCAGGTATGGCATAATTCCAGCACTCATCAGGCTGAGGCAGGAGGACTGCCACAAATTCAAGGGCACACTGGACTACGTTCTGAGTTCCATGCAAGCCTAGACTATATAATAAAACCCCATCTAGAAAAAAAAATGAAAATACCTGATTATAGACTCACTGGCAAGGATACATCAATAGCATACTAAATGTTGGAGGCAGAGATACTCTAAGTTCCAGTTGACAGCAGCAGGAATAGCCTAAGGCAGGACACAGCTTGCTGCATCAGCACTAAGAGTCAACTCCTAAAAACTGAGCAGGATTCCTAGCCCTGTGGGAGGCTGAGGATTAATCCACATGCCTCTTGTGGTTTGAATGAAATAGGAACCCTGTGATAGGGAGTTTTCAAAGCATTTTTGAAGCATAATACAGTGATATGCATTTAAGAATATACAATACATATGTTAAATATATGATATATATGAGAAAAAGTCAGAAATGCTAAATTGTTTTAACTTTACACATCAGTGTTTAGAAGAAAATTCAGATATAGAACATTAGCAGAAAGAACACAGTCTTACCAGAATCCAATTTTGAACGTACTTAAGATTCCACAAGGCATAAAATATTGCTTTACTGTCAACGCTACATAGGCTGGTATGTACTCAGAGCCCTGTCTGTCTTTCTTACTACTTCTGTCTTCCCTTTATTCCATCATGCCCCTTCCAGGTCACCCAGAACTCTGATGTTTTTGTAGCCAAGGTCCTGTGTGGTCTACTTTTAGTTCCATTTCCTACTGCAGATTAGATCCTCAAAGTCTTCAGAAAGAAGCACCTCCTCAACAAGCAACTCTGTCCTGACAATTGATAATAGCTCCAACTGACTTCTGGGCTAAATGTCTCCTCCTAAAAGATGCAGTAGAAGAAAACAGAGAACTCTGCTTTGCAGGTGATAAAACTGAAGGAAGCTGATCTCTCTAGGTAAAGTGATAAAGACTAGGTCAAGATACTTCTATGTTTTTAAAAATCTAGACATCCTGTGTGTGTATTGTCCTGGGAGTAGGACACAATTAATCCAAAGGGCAACAATTAATCAAGGGCGGTCAAACTCAATTACTAAGACTCCAGTCCACACTTCTGTGTTTCTCTCGGTGGCAGGAAGCAAACGCAGCATCTCATACATGCTTTACCACTGAGCTACCCACTTACCATGCCCAGCCCCATTCCATGCTTCCACCTACGTTGCACATTGTTTCTAAGGCAAAGAGTACAAGATGGTCAGTACAGGAAAGCTGCAAGTACAGGAAAGCTGCAAGAGTGAGGCAATGTTGGCATGGACAACTGAAGCCACCAGAAATGCTAGAAAAGGAAGATTTTGGAAACTGCGAAGCATTCACCCTTCATATCTTTGCTCAGTAGTGAACCCCACTGTGCAACATCCTTACAAGGAGATCCAACAACCTCTGTGGATAAGCCCTCCAGCGAGGAAAGGCCTTGTCACACTGGTGAGTCTTCCTCTACATTGGATCAGATGCTATAAAACACTGCCTATGTATGTACCTGCCCCCATCCTGCCCTTGGAGTCAGGCTAGAGGCATTCCTTCCTCACCCTGTTGAGAATGTTGCCCTCTGAGATAACTAGGTCCCTCCAATAACTGCTCTCACTGAGAAGTCACCTTGCTAAAGGCCACACCTCTTTTCTGGATACAAAGACCTGTCTCCCTTGCCTCTGCAAGACTGTTCCATCTCAAGTCTATGAGATTGGCTCAGGCCTTTTGAGACTATGTTATGGTTCCTCTACACCCTTTGGCCAGTGTGATTTCACTTCCCAGAGTGCTTTCCAGTAAACTTCCTACATGGAAATCTCCCTCTCAGAGTCAGCTTCTCAAGAAGCCCAACTTGCAGTACATATTATGTTTAACTCTACCTTTGCATAAAGACTACTTGTCTTAATTCCAACCTCAGATGCTATATTGATTAAGAAAATCTCTGTTCTGCTCAGTGGTCTTTCTGACATTTGAAGGCAGTTACTATGTATTTTGGGGAAGAAGGAAGAGGAATCAGATGGCACAAAGCACTAAAGTCAGGAGAGTGTTGAGTCTTGGAAACTATGCCTGCATCTCAGCTGCCAAGTTCGGCTGGACATATTCCCACCCACAGGGCCAGCTGGCTGGCAGTTGTTCCATAGACAGTTTGCTATCACCAACCCTGAAAACACACTGTATTAGTTTTCTATTGCTCCATTAAAAAAATGCCACAAGCTTGGCAGTCTTAAGCAAGACCCATTTACTAGTTCTGAAATCTAGTGGGTCTAACCAGGTTCTCTGCTTAGAGTGCCACAGGGCAAAATCAGGGTTTCAGTGAGACTAAACTCCTCCTGCAGGGTCCGTCGATGGGAGGAGAAGGTCCTCTGCCCAGTTTATTCAGGTCATTGGAAGAATTTAGTTCCTTGTGTTTTGAGAGGTGAAGTCCGCATCGGTTTGCTGGCAGTCAGTGAGGGTCAAGCTCGGTTTCACCCACATGCTCTCAAGAACATGGACGCAAAAACACCAGGCAGACTGTAGGGCAGGGTTAAGGAAACACTGAAAACAGAACAATTAAGCAAAAGTCTACATATTAAGAGATGTCATCTTCATTATTCACCTGCTTCACCCACTTAGCATTCAAGATTGCAGAAAGTGACTACCCCCAAAAAAACTACATTTTTAACCTATTACTGTTTAGATTCAGTCAGTAATTCACATAATCAGTATTTTCTCACATTTAAAAGTACCATTTTTCAGCTTCTTCAGTTATTCTCCCTCTGCTGTTCCCTTATTATTCTGACTGCCTGGCACTTGGGTTAAGGCCAGAGCAGGAAGTCACACATGGATCATTTTTCCATGACGGAAAAAATAGCCAGCTAACCTTCCTTTTCCTCTTCCCTTTCCCTTTTTCTGGACCATAGGCACAAAAGAATCCATGGAATAGAAGGAAATTGTTAATTTGATATCTTTAGTGAACTTGTATAATTCCTAAAAAAAAAAAAAAAAGAATCCATGGAAATATCTAAAGGCCTGAGTCAGGAGGCTGCCTCCTGAGGTCAAATGAGGTATATCTTCAAGCAAATAGATCCCCAACGAAGATAACAGGCCCACAGCAGGGTAGGTCAGCCCCACCTTTATTCATCCTTATATTTCTAAGGACCAGAACTCAGCCTGGCCCGTAACAGGCAATCAGTACGTGTTTACTTGGATAGCAAAGCTAAAGGGCTTCCTCAGGCAGATTTTAAACTCCCACCAAAAGCAAACATCCAGCTCGCCTCTGTTTCCCGCTCATTTTCCAGTTTTCCATGGAGCAGTCAGCCTGAGAGTCCACTTAGAATCTCCTCCATGGCTTTCTTGATCGTAGCCCTCCAAATTTCAGGTGGCCGCTTCCTTCGCTGGGGGCGGCGCCTGGACACCGGCGTCCCGCGCCAGGGCGGCCTCGGTGTGCCGGACGCAGGGTGAGGAGCAGCCTTCCGCGCTAGGCGGCGAGAGAGCGCAGTGCTGGACGGCTCGCTGGGCGCACCGGACCTTGCCGCGTGGGTAGGCAAGTGGGAGCGGTGGGGGGACCCAGTCCTAGAAGCGGGGCACCCTGGACTTGGCGAGCACCAGCTGAGCGTCCCCTACTTTAGGGTCCCGGGACTCCAAGGTCCCGGCGCTCTAGAAGGACCCAGGCCGCTGGCATCAACGCCTTCGCGTCTAGGATTTTGTGCATCGGCGGTCTCAAGGGCGTTTTTTCCCTCCGATCCGCTGCAACGCCGGGAGCTGGGCTGGGCAGTGGCGAGGTGAGACCTCGCGGCCCGCTCACCAGCGCCCCGTTACCTGCTGAGCGCCTTCGAGCCATTCCAGAGGGGGCATGTTTCAGGTGGGCAGGGCCAGCATCCCCAAGCCTGCCCCCCGGAACCTGGAGGACCTGGACTCCGTGCAGCGCGTCCTGTTACACAGGTCAGTGTGGGCCGGGGGCTAGGGAAAGGACCGCCCTCCGTGCCCCCGGATTCCGGAGAGGGGAGGGACCGCTTTTCTTGCAGAAGCTTCTGATTTGGGGTTCTCCGTGCAGCGTTCGCTGCGCGAAGGGGCACTGTCCTCCAACCCCTTCCAGAATCGTGGACTCGCGATCCACCCGCTCCCGCTGCAGAGACGCCAGCCCCGCGTGGGTGGGACCCCTCATCTCCTCCAAAAAGCACTACTTGATAAAGTACTTGATAAAGAACACAAAAGCTGTCTTTGAAACACCTCTAGCTTTCCTCCAGGGAAAACAGCTGAGAGTTTTGTTTAGAATTTGGTTGTGAATGGAATTAGAAGGAGCCTCCTTTTTAAGTCATCTAATTCTACCCCACCCCCTCCCACAGGCGCGAGTGGTAAGCGTCGGGACACTACACAAAAGAAATTTAAGCGGTTTCCTAAGAAGGATCAGAACCCAACTTTCCGTAAACTGTTAGTGTATGCATTAACTGCTAGTACCTTTGTGCAACCTTATCCTTTATGCAAAATAGACTAACAAATGTTAAACCCCAAGGTAACTGTGATGAGTTTATAGAGGAATTAAGAATCCACATGGAAAACAAAATCTTCATTTTAAGAGCGAATGGATGGAATGCCAGGCAGTTAATGCTGCTTTGGAAAGGCCTGGCCTTCTTAAGATATGATGTAGAGAAAAGAAAGAAAAAAGTACTCGTTTAGAAATACTGTATATCAACAGCTTCTCTTGAACACATTTGTGGTGAGAAGGAGTCAGTGGTGCTTAACAAGTCTCTTTCGGGGGAGGTTTATGTGAGTTCTCTCATTTGTAAACGTTTCAAGTGACCCTTTCAAGACTTTGTAAAAAACCATATGAGCTGTAGAAATCCTGCACCATTAGAAGTGTGAATAAAAAGAAAGACACTATGCAAGGAAGAAATTGAGTTTCTTCGATTTAAGAGCTGTCTTGTGAAACTTGCAATTTTCTACAGTTGGTTTTCTCCATTCCACTCGCCACCCCTCGAGAGCTGCTGCCATATAAAACAAAATATTATCAAATGAGCAGCGAAAAGAGTGTTCTCTTAAATTCTGAAGGACAATTCCCCTTACATTTGATAAAATTACTATCCAAAAATAACCCCAAGAAGCATTAACTAGAAACTTGTTCACAGCATGACCTTGGCAAAGCTGGAAGGGGAGTTTGTTTTAAACACTTAAGACTTTGCTCTGACAGAATTCCTTTGTACTTTTCCTGTTTTAAATGTCAAGGGCCAAAAAATTCCAAACTAATTAACACTGCAGGGTTTCAGATCCAAAGCCCAAACCTGTCTGAATGAGAAAAGAGAATGTTTAAACTCTAGTCATCAAAACTGAGATGATTGTTTCAGAAGCAGTAGAGTATTCTGTAGTAAACCTGCTCAGTATTAGAATGAAAAGCTGCTTCATCTGAATTACAAATAACTGCTCCCATATGCTTTAGGAACCAGAGGAATCTGAAACTATAAATGTGTGTGTCAGTGTCATGGCTGACAGAAATTTATTTTTAACAGAATATGAAAATCTTTTGCTTTTCCACTGATTTTTATTAATGATTATTATTTTCAAACACACTTGTTAAAAATCTGAGACATCTGTAGAAGCTCCCCTTCCCTATGATAAAGCTATATTTTCACACACATATTTAATCAAATGTTTCTTGTTTACATGTATAGATTTATTTAGACATAATGTAAAAGAAATTAGAGAATTTATAATAATATAGAGAATAATCAGATAACCTTTAAATCATATCATCGCCTTATCATAGTCTTTATGAACTAGACTGGTACATAGCTTATGTTTTAAAAATTAGTTTTACAAAATTTTAGTGTTTTTCTTTCATTGTAAGTTATCCAAAAAAGTTGGCAATTGCATTAAACAGACCAGTGGGCTTAGGTATAGAATTCAGAGACAAGAGAAAATAGTGGACTGACTTATTTTTACATTTTACTTGAAAGGGTAAGTCTCTTCAGTGTTTACTTTTTACAAATTACTTGTATATTTTCCATTGCAAATATGATTTGCACAATATAAAGCATTAAATTGCTGTGCTTTTGAAAAAGGTCCTTTGTCCAAACCAAAGTTGAAGCAAAACTGCAAATTTTTCTCTGCATGAGGTGTTAACTTCAAAACATCAATGCTAAAATAAGACTTGCTCAGAAAAAAAAAAAAAAAAAATATTCAGCTATTCTGCTTTTTGGGAAAAAAGTTCATGTTGTCTGAGTCAGGGGAAAGCTTCAGTATTACATTTCTTAGTTACTTTTACTTAAGTAAATTAACATTTTGTGTCATCTTGATTATAATCAGTATGCATATAATCATGTTAGCACTCAGTATTTTGGACAGATGTTTTAAAAAATATTTATGCACAGGCTATTACAATTTAGCCTTTACCTTAGAGTCCTGCTTCTGTTGTACGTAGTTGTGTGGTTTGACAAGACTTTTTAAAAAGTCTTTACTTTCTTCATTTTTCTGTAATATAAGAGGGAGGGATAATACCCACCTCAGGATGGTAGTATGGATTTCTGATTATATTGAAGTGCTCTATAAAAATAAATTTTTGTCAAAGGGATTATGTTAACAACTGTTCTAGAAAGCTAAACTACAACATAAAAGGACAGCTATTGTTAAAGGTGATAAGACTCAGCTAAGTGACTGCCCAAGGCCTAATCGCTAATGAGTAGTGTTGAGCCAGGCTCAAGTACTGATTTTTTTTTACACTTAAGGCAGCACACACTAGAGCTCAGTAACCACCCCACAATTATTTAATGACTCAAATTTCATGCTCTTGCCAACATAAAAATAAGCATATTCAAAGCATCTCAAATATCTAGAACTTTCAGAGATAAAGATATGCCTCATTAAGTAATATTAAAAGAGTATGAAGTATCTTTTTAAACTGTAACAGTGAAAACTAAAATAATAATAAAAAGCTTTTGAAAATATAGCATAGGGGCTGGGGATACAGCTTATGGCCCAAGTGCTTGCCTGGCAAGCGCAAAGTCCTGAGTTC